CTTTGGTCTATAACAGGCGAAAACTGCCTTTTGTCCTTTGCTGCTGTTTCTGTACTCTTATTGCTCTGATTGCATCAGCGTCTCTTCTCCCTTGCTTTGGACTATAGATCAATGACTTTTTTTCTTACTCCTAGATGTTGCCTGTAATACTTAGCTTATGTTTTCAGATCAGTTTGAATACCTCTTTTCTGGTGCACTAAGTATGTCTCTAGGTCTCCCACTATCAGATCAAAAATGACACGGCCACCTAATAAAAGCACCAATCCAGTAAAACTCATTGGTTTAACGTCGTTAAAATGGATAGATTAACACTGTGAAAGCAGGCTTTGTGATCAATCAAATATCATCTGTCCACACCTTTACGTTTTTGCTAGAGCAAGTATTTCTCCTCTTTGCATGCACTATAAAAGCCATAAAACAATAGCACCGGCTTTGTGTTCTCTGACTGATTCAACAACGCTGAGTCTGGGGATTCATGCATGGACCAGGTTAAATTAAGACCAGGAAGAGGGTTGATTTGCCAAGGCAAAGATTGCTCTTCATAACTGTGATAACACAACTTTAGCCTGGGAAAGCAGCTACACCTGTGAACTCTTCCTGCAAGAGCTGAGGGCTAAGGCTGGCTGGGGCGGCAGGAGTGCTTTGAACGGCTGCACAAGCCAAGCTTATTGGAACCTTGCACTGAATGTCAGACTGGGGGCCCAACATCCCACTCATGGTTGAATATGCCCATGGCTACATCTATCAGACCATCAGCTGTATGGACTGCATATTAGGTATGCTGGTCCCAAGTTAGAAGTTTTTTACTTACAGCATTCAGAATAATTTTTGCACCCGGGGCTGTCCTCCTTTCATACATCCAAATGGGCGTTTGTGCCTTATCTTTAAATATCGTACCAAAAGATGTGGAGGTCTTTGTCTTAGGCGAAAAAACTTATGGGAATTTCTAGTCTGCTTCTTAGTAAAGAGCTTTGATTAGCAGAAGTGAACTTAGTGAAATACTTTCTAATGAGAAACTTGATTTTTTTTTTTCCACCTACGGATAAAAAGTTGATAATAAATAGAAATTGAATATTTTCTCTTCCTTGTGTAGTGTTTAAATGCCTAGCTGCTTCATGGCTCTTAATGATAATCAGGACTCTTCTTAAAGTTCTCCTATTGATTTATCAGTAACCAGGAAATAGATTTTTCATTCTGGTTTTGGCCACAAAAAAATGTCAGTCCACCTCTGACATGTGTCATCGTTCTACATCCGTCCCTGTTTTCTTTCTCCTGGGGGCCAGGATCCAGATTTGGCTCACTGGCAAACCTTTGAGGAGTCTGATAGCTCCATCTGGCACATGGGTCATGGGGCAAAGGAAAAGAATGATGCTTTGTCCTTCTGCTACATGAAATGTGAGCGGAGCATGAGCTCAGGAAAACATCTGAAACCAGGGGCCTTGTGCAGTGCCTAAGGATGCTGAGCTGAACAGCAAGTAACAGGTAAGGATCAGAAAACACAACCTGAGCCTACTGGTTTGTCAGACTGAATTTCCCGGCTGGTTAACAGATTATCTTTCCTTCCATTTGTCAGTGCTCTCTCATTGTCAAAAGGTCCTTGTACTCATCCATCTCAAATAACCATGTGGGGTTTTTTTTCTAGTTTTCTCTTGACAGTTTTTCTTTCCACTGGAACTGAGCAGCACCCACTTTTTCTATCCATCTTTTTTTCTTCACAATTTTATATTTGACTTTTAAAATTATAAAATAGAATCATAGAATCATTACGGTTGGAAAAGACCTCTAAGATCATCAAGTCCAATGGTTAGAACTGAAAATTATTCTCCATTTTCCCATTCCAGATTTCAATTTTTCCCCACTCAACATAGACAACTGGACCTTAAAATCCCCACAAAATTCCTAAAAAGTGTTAACAAGAAATATGGAGAGATATTATCTTCACAGTGTCATCCAGCTATCAGAATTTTTTTAAACCCACTAATATTACTTGAAACTTGGACTGCTTCAGTATCAGCAGCCCAGAATTAAAATGTCTTGTGATATCTTCCAAAAGGAAGCAATGATCTTTTGAAGATCAGCCCAGTCAGATCTGAGGAGACCAAGAGTTATTTTTATGAGGTAATATAAAACCCCATTCAATGCCATTGGTTTTTGTTTGGATTGCTCTGTTTCTTTGTCCATAACCACATTAGAAAGCCCCAGGCGGTGTCTTCTATACCAACAATTTGGTTTAGCATTGCAGCACAGTGCTGAAAATCTGATCCTAATGCCAAAAGCAAGCCAACATGAATTTCAGGAAGACATCTCTCTGCTCTGTGTCTGAGTGTTTTGTTTTCAATAACTATTGACATCTCTATAAAGCACTTAAGGACCTTGTAATGAAAACACAAGTTAGATATTAAATACTATCATTACTGTAATAGTCTACTAGACTGAAAAAAATTCTTTAACTGATTCAGTTGCAAACTTTAGGGTGGAGTTAAGATTTAGTGGCATGACATAGAGCCGCATGCTAGTTTGTTCATGAAGGTTTCCTCTACAAGACCCAACTGTGAAGTTATTCCTGGTTGTTCATGCTTTGGAATGAAGTAAAGTTGGATACAGCCACCAAACCCCTGTCTCTCATGTTCTGGATACAGAAAGAGGTGTGCCTTAGCTATGCTGATCTTACGGTCCACCTAGCATTTGTGAACCTTAAATGAATAAGTCTTGACCCATACTCAAATGTGGGGATGCAGGTGTGAGAAATGGGTCTCAGGGCATATGGCAAGATAATGCCCACCTGCTGGCAAAATGCAAGGGAAAGACAACTTATGTACAAACTTCATGCAGATATAATGGCTTTGTTAGATGAACAATGAAATAAAGAGTGCTGGGTTCGAAGCATAAGAGAGATGGAAAGTCCCGTGAGGACTTTTTAATGAAGAGAATTCTACAGCATGTAAGGTGTGACTGCCTCATGTTTCGATGACTCTACAGTCACGCATGGGAATAGGAACATGTATTTTCTTACTTGTTTAATGCTTATGGCTGTTGATATATAGAAAGTTTGATTTCTCAACTGCTATCTGAATGACTGACAGTTACTCAAAACAGGACTCTGCTCAATAGTAAGTCAAGAAGGGCGTGTTCTGCTCCTCAGTCACATTCCTCAGTTTCTCGTTCATACCATTTTACAGGGTATTCCTCTGTTATTCAGTTGCTTCAGAAACTTGTCATATGACAACCACCAAGGCTCAGATCCTTACTTTTTAATACGGAACATAAAATCTCATTTGAATATAAAAAAAGGATATTGAACATACTTGTGTGTATGACCGTCTGCCTAAATATATATTTGAGAGCTTTTCTGGTTCACTCTGAAGCTCTATCTCAAGCCTTTACCAATCCCTGTAACTGTTCTGTGAAAATTAAAAAATATATATATATCATTATTCTCAGAGATGTGTCTCTTCTCATGTATAGTAGTTTTGCACTAGCCTCCACAGGAGGAACAGTAACTGAAATAAATTGCAAAGGTTTCCCAAAGAGCCAGGCATAGAGAACATAAAATAAATCAAACAAGTAACATTTCTATAATGAAATCTGTTTTACAAGACTAGCATGGAAACCAGGGGAATCAGTCAAACAATAGTAAACATCAGCCTGTGGTTCGAAATATTTTTTGAAAAGCAATCCTTTTTCCTTTGCCCTTCGTGCTCCACGCTCCCCCAGCACAGGCTCCCTGGCAGCGGTACTCAGGGATAATCTCCTGGAATACCTGAGGCGTAGAAGCCAACAGGATTAAAGCACCTCGTGCTCCTCAGCACGGTCATGTGATGACCTGCTGATCCCAGCAAAAGACATCGCTTCCCAGGAAAGTTCTCACTTCATTTGCGTATGCGTAGCTCCTGCCCTGCTGGGATTCTCCCTAAGCATAAGGAAATAATTCACAATGCTTTTAGTAAAAAAATGAAACCAACAAAACTACTCTTACTAATAACAGCAGCAGCTGAAGAAAACTATGGATAATTCATTTGCAATTTGCCCAGCAATAAAGCAACTGCTGTCCCTTTGCTTCAAGGGGCAACTTCAAAGTATGTGTAACTTCTAATGGCTCCCGTACAACTCTGTTAGCTCTGATCAGGCTAATGTGTAAGAGCAAAGAGGTGGGTGGTCTGCAGGCTGCCCGATAACTTACTGAGTGAAGAACACAGATATGGTGTTTGCAAACTGCCTGGTGGGAGAAAAGCAGGAGTCAAGGTTTGTTTCCCAGGACCAGACATAGCTGCTTAAATTGCTTTCTGCAAATCTATTGGCAGATTGCATATATTCCCCACAAAACTCCAGAGAAGATTTGGGTGCAGATTTCGGTGTGTCATTAACTGTCAAAGCTCTATGGATTCTAGGAGAATAAACAGTTTGGGTTTTTTTAAATTTATTGTTTCCCTTCTGAAGTTACTTTTCCATATGCTGTCCCAGGAAATGCAGCTTACACTGAAATATAAAAATGCCAAGCCAAACCATTTATTCTGGTTCTGCCCTATGTTCACACTTATCTGACCACATTTTATGTTTGCTTCCTCTTAAAAAAATAGATAGTTTACCCCCAAATTGTTCATTTTCTCATTTTTAGGTTCACTGTGCTTATTTAACTGATCAGATTCTTCTGTGTTTTTTTTTAAACAACCTTTTACTCTAAAGCATATGATCAAACAAGGGATTTGAAGAGCCGACAACTGTTTCTCTGTCCAAATTTTAATTTTATTTCCTCTCCAATTGCCAGAGGAAAGCAATCATGTGCTAAGCAGAAGATGAAATTTTATAATAAATGCCTGTATTTTGAAACCTGTAGGGGTGGGGAAAAAAAGTCACTTGGCTTTCACCCAGAACATGTGATAATCAGATTAACCCTGAAGTGTATTTTGTGTGTAAATGCATCCAGGGTAGGAATGGGGAAGGACTTTGGAGGGTGCACTGTAGCAGAAGTCAGCAGTGAAGCATTCCTGGTGGAGGGGAGGAATTTCTTTCACACTCAGGACTTCGGAGGGGTGAGAGAGAGCACTCCATGCACTGAAGCGTAACGCCAATGTTCTCCTGCTGCTCTGTGAGGATGTCGCTGTTTGCCACGGGTTTTCTGCTAGTCGTCCTTCAGCCGTCCGCCGGGCAGTTCCCCAGAGCCTGTGCAAACACGCAGAGCTTGCTGAGTAAGGAGTGCTGTCCCCCCTGGGACGGAGATGGGTCTCCTTGTGGGGAGCTTTCCAGCAGAGGGTCTTGCCAGAACATCCTTCTCTCTCAGGCTCCGCTGGGACCACAGTTCCCTTTCTCCGGGGTGGATGACAGAGAGGACTGGCCCTCTGTATTTTACAACCGGACGTGTAAATGTGAAGGAAACTTCATGGGATTCAACTGTGGTCAGTGCAAGTTCGGTTTTGCAGGGCTCAATTGCACTGAAAGGCGACTAAGAACGAGAAGAAACATATTCCAGCTCACCACCAGTGAGAAGGACAAGTTTCTTGCTTACCTTAACTTGGCAAAGAACACCCCGAGCCAGGACTATGTTATTGCTACTGGCACATATACTCAGATGAACAACGGCTCAAACCCCATGTTCAGAAACATCAATGTGTATGATGTCTTTGTGTGGATGCATTATTATGCCTCTCGAGACACACTTTTAGGTGGGTCTAATGTGTGGCGGGACATTGACTTTGCCCACGAAGCCCCTGGTTTTCTGCCTTGGCATCGTGTCTTTCTGCTGATGTGGGAACGTGAGATCCAGAAGATAACAGGTGATGAGAACTTCACCATCCCCTACTGGGACTGGCGAGATGCAGAGGACTGTGTCGTCTGCACTGATGAATACATGGGTGGTAGACATCCCACCAACCCTAATTTACTCAGCCCAGCATCATTTTTCTCCTCATGGCAGGTAAGGACAGTCCAAGGGGAAGGGGAAGGGAAAGGCTGATTGTACCAGAATTATCCTCCCTGACTTTAGGCACTTCAGTGAGGTGCACAAGCTGGGAGCTTAACCATGCTGCATTCCCTTAGACATTCCTGGAGAGAAAGTAAGCACTATGAGAAAGAAAACCAGATTTTATGGGGACATAATCTTCATTTAGAGCTGTTCATTTGTCTCTTCTCTCTCTGACTGTAGGATTTAGGCTGCTTAATTAAGAACCTAAACTTAAGGTGGAAGGAGGGAAGTTATGCCCTTGTGTACAGACATGGTCTTTAGCAAGCTAAACAGACTGGGGTCTGCTGAAGCAGTCAGGTGAGAAAAAGCAGGATTTATGTACACAAATTTCTAGTGCAAAACTATTGCAAGACGGTTGCTGACTGAATGATGGAAATAGAAGCAAAGAGGTTTTCAGATGTTCTACCCCCCTCCCAGTGCCTTCTTCCATCAAAGAGTTAAAAGCTATCCAATTAAACTTGTCTGCTTTAAAATTAAAAAGCAAACAAACAAACAAAATAAATCTTTAGAGTGCAGAAGAAGCAGCTGAGTAATTCACATCAGTAGTTCAAAACATATATAAGAAGTAATCTCTGTTGCTCAAAGGAACTAGGAAGTAAACTCCACAGCTATTCTTGCCACTTAAAAGCACTGCAAATTATATCAGGTAAAGTTACATATTTACATAGGTGATATACTGTTATATAGCTGAACTATACTGTGCTGTTCTAACACTGAGAGCTTCTAGATGTATTTTTGTCTCTTGCTCGTTACTGACATGTTGCCTAAAATACAGTGACAAAGGTCTATTGGCTTCCACAGACACACTCCATCATGACAATAGCAACAGTCCCTTCTGGTGTTGAAGTCTATGATTATGTTGGTGTAAATCTCTTTGTTCTATTTATTTCTGTAGCAACAGCCCAAATGAAGGTTGGGCAGTTTTAGTGATTTAATGAGAAGTGAAGGAGATACAAGCTCCAGCAGCTCTCTGATATTCTGGCATTACAAAACAGCAACTAACTGGGATGGTTATACTGTATTTAGTCTAGATTTGTGTCCCCTGAACAATATAGGCTGTGCATATACCTGTAAAGTCAAACATTCCCATATACTGTAACAGACCTACTTTAGGACGTTCTCTGGCATACGTTCTGTTGGTATTGACTAGTCGTCCCCGCAAAAGGCACTTTTCAGGGACCATTTCCAGGAGAATGTTTGGGAGGCTGAGATGATTTTGCTGGCATAGGCATGGATTATTTCATGCCACTTGGCCTCAGTGCCCAGGAAATGCCCTGAACACATTTAATTTACCAGTGTAGGTATAGCTATAAAATAGATATAGCTACAAGCATGTATTTTCACCCCATTTTTTAAGATTCTCCTCATTTCTAACAACACGAATCTGGATGAACTCTACCAATTAATTAGATTGCATTATCAGAATGAAGTGGATCTGATGCTGTTCTGCATTGAGCTGAACAAAGAGCGACATGAAAATGGTACAAGTGTTGAAGTGGATTAAATGACACAAGAATTGCACTGGTTACGTGTCAAGTGGAGCTAACAGTACAATATATTGGATGAGATAAGCAAGGTAGTAGAGGGCAGGTAGTATAACAGAATCAGCAAGTTGCTAGCAGAATTTTCTAAAAGACCTGGAGGGGTCAGATAGTTACGTTTAGCTCATTTTTTCAAAGGTACTCTTAATCACATCCAGATTCTTAGAAGTTTTCCATCCTGGTAATAAGTATCCAGAAATTTTACAAGTAGTAATGAACACATTTAAAAAATAGTCAGGTTTGTAACTTCTCATTTAAGCTCCCAGTTCCCACAAATATATTCTGAAAATAAAGACAAATTTTTATGAAACACGTTGCTTTAACAGACTTTTTTTTTCTTTTTTCAGACTTTAACAGACTTTTTTTATTGTTTCACGTATTGTTTCACTTTTGAAAAAAAGTGAAACAATACGTGAAACAATAAAAATTGTGCTGTATTTAAAGCACATTCAGTGTCAGTGTACACACATAAAAGCATCTAAGTAAGTCCTTTGCTGAAGTTTTCCAAGTGACTTCTGAAAATGGGTGCTTATCACTTATATTTTTCAGCCACTTCTGGAAATGCCACACTTTTACCAAAATTTCCAAAACTGGGGCACAATGACTTTCCCTTCAAAGCGTATTATTCCCCTTTAACATCTTCTATCTGTGTATATCTCTGCTGCCTATTCTAGAGATGGAATGAAAGAGTTTGAACAAATTTGCATTTTCAGTCGATGAGTTTGGGATGAAGATACAACACAAACTGATCTTTCTTTATTAGCCTTGAATCCAAATTTAAACAATTGCTTATGATGGAATAACGTAGTCAATGCAGTTCCTTCAAGTAGCACAAAGTAAGAGATCAGAATCTCACTCCAGAAAATCAAAAAGGAACAAAAATAGCCTTAGCTTGAACCGGAAAACAGGCATAGATTTGCCACAGAATGCACCGATTATCCAAGCTCTGTAGCTAAACATCAAGAGAAAAAGAAAAGAGGAGAATCCAGAAATGTGAAGGAATTTAGGCTTTTAATAAGCATGCAAAATAAAAAGAGGGCAAGAGAAACCTTTTGAATAACACATCTATAACATTGCGCCCTTTTTAGAATTTTGAGTCTCTTTTCAAAGCATAACAAAACAATGCCTGCTATCTTAGGAAATAGTTACAGATTTATTTAAAAAAAAAAAAGAGGTAAAGTGCGTATTTGCAGAACAGCATCTCTCTTTTTTTAATCCCTAAAGAAAGGAGAAAATACTTTATTCCATTGAGAAGTTGCCATGGCAACATGGATACCCATGAACACATGCTGAAATTCTTGCTTTCGCCTCACTTTTTCTTCAACATGCTGCTGTTACCACTTAGCTGAGTGAATTATCTGTCCATGTTCTTCTGATGTTTAACATCTAAGTGAAAGTTCTGATTCCTGCCTCTGTTTTTGCTAGCAAGACTACCAGAAACCTTTAGTGGTTTTATTTGTTTGCTTGGCTCATGTTTCAGGGTAGATGGGAAGGATTTTCTCATGTTTCCAGTTAGGAGTTTGTGGCGAGTGAAGTGTTGCATTCAGAATTAGGACTGCATGACACCTACTAATGCTTTAGCAAATTTTGCAACTCCATGCCGACTTAACGGAAAGCTGTGCGGGAAATTGAGAACTTCCATGACATTTTCAGAGTTTTTTTTGGTTTAGTGCCCATTTCTATAATTATTCAAGAAAATGGATTTGCTGAAGAAATAATTATTATGCCTCACTAAACTGTAGTAAGTGAAATTCTGCTCTCCTCTGCACCAGAACTAATTCGGAGAAATAACTGAAGTCAGTGAAGTTACAAAGGCATAAAAAGCCTTCTGCAAATAAAAGCACAATCTTTCTGCTGGCAGTTACCATTAGTGTGCTAGACAGGTGATGGAGAAAATAAAACAGGAGGATGCGAGTGCTCTTTAGGTGTGCTATTGTGGCAAGCAGGCTACACCACCAACTTTACCCCCCTGTATTTTGTCTCTCCTAAAAGAAGAGTGACTTGAGAGAAGGAATTGCCTAACGTGGAGAGCTGCCTGCTCTCAGATGTGCCGGTGTAAGGCTGCAGCTAATTCTTTGTTGCAAGCACCGAGAATTTCCCTTTTCACTTCAGTCTGTATCACCCTGAAGAACCACTTACACAAATGTAAAGCTGCTACAAAAGGGAAAACAAGTTACACAAATAGAAAATGAATATAATGCTCCTGAACTAATAATGACAGTACTTTAGATCCATTACCTGAAAATACTACTTCATAAGAAATATGAAATTTAGCTATTCAGACACAGTTATTTATTTCTAGGCACAGTTTATCAGGGAGCTGTATTGCTAGCTGAATAGTCTGAGAGGATCATCTGAAGCACTATTTTATGTGCACCTTTAAAAACTGCAAGAAATTTTCAAAAATACAAACACCAGAAACCAACACTTGAGTCTTTAATCTGCCAAAGTCTTACACCCATCTGCCTGTGGACACCTGAGTATCTCATGAACCGAATGACTTTATATTTTATTGCAACTTAACAGGTTTTGTGCCAGCTACAGGCTAGTAAATTAAAAAACAACAAATGGAGAAAGTAAGTGTAAAATAAGAGTTTATCAAGATTGGTCTCCTAATGATACGCTTACATGGATTATAAATTTGAAACATTTCCTATTACAAAGAGATAAGTCTCCACATGTCACAACTCAGTACCACAGCCTAAGGGAATAAGGATCTGTGCACATCAGCAACAGCCACTTGGGTATCTTCAGCCTCTTTATGTCACTGTAACCTCGGAGTAATGCTCCTCCTTACACGGGATCACGAGTGGGTGACAGCAGAGTTTGGCTGGTGGTTGCTTGGCTGTTCTGGTCTATAGCTGTGCTTGCTCAGGAGTCGTGTAAGTGTAAAAGATAAACATCTTCAGAGCTGTAGAAATTAATAGCTAAGGAATTTAATAAAAATTGAGTTTTGTTAACGATTCACCAGGAAAAGAAGTCTACTTGTAGAGAGATGTGTCTGTGAATTTGTGGCTAGCTTGGAGACAGCCAGAGAGCACGGAATCGTAGTCTGCCAAAACAGAAAGTGTTAATGAATATTTCATCAGTGATTGATAACAGAGCTTCCTACTCCACCTCAGCACCATTTTCAGGTGCTGAATGGGGTGTAAGTTACCCCCGTTCTGGGCTGCCTCTGAGCAAAGAAGTGGAGCTCAACCAGCTTTCAGTGAAGGCTGAGAAAATACCTTGAAGGCTATGGGTTTGTTTCAGTGCTGTCACTTCATGTTTGTCTCATCTCCTTTAGCTTGAGTTTCACAGCTCTCCCAGTTAAAGCATACATCGTAAGGATCAGAAAGATCATTAATGACCTTATCCTTGCACAAAGAGGCTTCTTAGAATTTGCTTTCCAAATTTTCTTCTTTTCATTCAGTCCTTTGCCTATTTTACCTTTCCATTGCTGCTCATATTCAGGAGTACATGAAGAACAAGATATAAATGTATACAGTCTGTTAAAAACTTTTTTGGGCTGCTATAGATACAGCACCTTTTCAAGTTCTGCCTATAAAAGCAAGCTCCCAAAGTACAATTTGCTCTCTTGCAGGTTATTGGGGATTTACTTGCCTTTTCTAATTTGGTAAGCAAATGGCTTCTGGATGCCACTTAATTAGGATTAGATTATGCCAGGCCCTAATGCAGACAAAAAAGTAAAAATTAAACATCTTTACAATTGCCAAATGTTTTAAATCCAGCATGAGGGCTGCACTTTAATGCCCTTCCCAAGCAAGTGTGTGAGACTAGGTGGAGACAGACAAAGGTAATGAACCATGGTAAAATCTCTTTTGGCTGCATAGTGGGACCCAAGGCTCCAGTTCAGGAGTCTGTAATTCATGTAGGACAGACAGACACATGGGAATGTGTCAAGGAGGTCCAGGAAGTGCCCACATCAAACCCTTGGGAGAGCTGGGATGGGCACCACAGAAAAGCAAGTCATGGGGTTGCTCTGGCTGTAGTCTGAAGTGGTTCTTTTAGGCTACCTTAACCCAGAGCATAACACTATGAAAACATGCTGATATAGTTTCTGGATGTGGGCAGAGTCCTGTTCAGTAGGCTCAGAAGACAAGCGGAGCAAGGGACCAGCTCTGAATGAAGCAGAGGTGCAGATTAACCCTTCGAGTGTCCACACTTCCCCAGCAAACCAAGGAACTTCAGCTCAATTTGTAAGTGAGCAGCTATTTCAGTACTGTAGAAAATCACCTTTTCCCAATTGTTCAGGTATGTATTACCTGTATCGGATGTCCCTATGAGTGCGGAACTAAGAAGTCCAAAGCAACCACAAAGAATTTGTCACCAAAACCCCCAAAGCTTTGAATTTAAAAATAGCGGACAAAGGACTGAACGCTGCTGAAGATTCCTGTAATGTAATTCACTTTATCTACACACTGGGGCTACTCTGTGCAAGCAGTTGCAAACCAAAAGAGAAAAGGGTTTCCCATTTGCGAAAAGGTGCGAGACAGCAGCAACACTTCCACACATTTACAGCCTGTTTTCTAAGAATCGATACAAAGCGCTGTGCTACGGATCTCAGCTGCAGCGCACGGAGGGGTTTTTTTGCTGGTTGCTACACGGCCCAGGAGTGATGCTGCGTATTCCGGACTGCCATCTACTGGCATTTACTCTGCTAACTACTTACATAAGCTTTTCCTTGGAGTATCTTCCTAACAATTTCCCTTGAGCTGGTGAATTTATGCATGCAGGAGAGCAGTCATTGGGTGCAGTTTGGATATGAAGCTTTGTCCAGGGTAAACTGAAGAATTTGCTCAGGACTGTTCCTAAAGGGAACAAAAAAATCATGTTTTAAAATGGCATGTTACTAACAGAATGTACTCCTGGTGAATGAAAATAAGGCAATGATGTGACCCATTTTGTGTGTGCTTCATGCAGATTACATCCAGAAAGAACCATTTAACTGACCTATGTTCTC